GCCAAGTGCAACAATGGGCTGGGCAACAGAGTTCACCTTCAGGGAGGAACTGCAAATCCCATTGCAATGAATGGGAAGAAATATTCTTTGCAGGGAAGAGTTGATTGCTGGGAACAATAATCTAAGCAGCCATAAGTTTAAGTGACGTAAAGATAATATATCAGGGAAGGAGGCTAAGGGGAGCCAGGTGTGTGAGTGTCATGGGGTTAGAGGGGTGCCACAGAGAAACTGACAAACTTACAGGAGGAATAAACAGGTGATGTTCTGACGTTAGGATCGTGATGTATAGTGGAGACTGCTGGCTAGTTACCAAAAACCCATTTCCTCGTCTTCCTGGGTACACAGACTTTTCCTGGCCACTGTTAACAGTGAGGTGTGGCCATGTGACTGAGGTCCAGCCCATGGAGTGAGAACAGAAGTGATGTGTGCCCTGCCACCAGGAGTCCAAGGACCCCAAGGTCCTAGGGATGGTGGAGCCACAGACGGAAGGAGCCTGGGTCCCCAAATCACCATCCAGCAGAAGGACATCTACTTTGGATCGTGAGCAAGTAAGCTGGAGTGCAATGGCGCGATCTCAGCTCACTACAACCTCCGCCTGCCGGGTTCAAGTGATTCTCCTGCCTCAGCCTCCCAAGTAGCTGGGACTAGAGGTGTGCACCACCACGCCTGGTTAATTTTTGTATTTTAGTACAGACCAGGTTTCACCATGCTGGGCAGGCTGCTCTCGAACTCCTGATCTCAAGTGATCTGTCCATCTTGGCCTCCCAAAGTGCTGGGATTACAGGAATGAGCCACCGCGCCTGGCCAAAACCAGGGATTTTATGGTCTTTGGAAACCCACTGGTAGTGACTTCATAGTGACGTCGTTTACGGTGATGTTGACCTAGGTGGACTCTTCTGGGAGAGAGACTTCCCAACATGGAGAACGGTGTATATTGGCAAATGTGAGTCATGAGGGGCTTCTTCAGGTGTATGGAAGAAAACAGTATATGGGGAAAAAGAATGAAAAAGGAACTGAATCCCTTTGTCTGAAAAGCAAACACAATTAGAGAGGTAATAACTGGAATAACCAACTGAGAGAGTGCTAACAACTTTCAAACCACCAGCCCTTGTACTTGGAGGAATTCCCCAGAATACCCTAGAGGCAGAGGCCCCTTTGGAGAGGGCAGAGTGTGGAGAGCATGGGTGAAGGGATGAGGGTCTTCCCTTTCTGACCATCGCTTCCTCCAGGAAAGCAGATCAGATTCCACCATACACTGATGAGTTTCAGAAACACCTGTCATTTCATTCAACAGAATGGCAGACCTGCCACCCTGCCATTTATCTGGATTTGTGTCTTCAAGTTTTCCTGTTTTCTACATGCCTCCCAATTATTTACTGACAAAGGAATGAGTTGACCCTTTGCCCTGTTTTGTTTTTCATCTATTACTTCAACCTCGTTTCCTTTTCAACTATAATAGGAAGAACAGGTGCTTCTCAGTCGTAGGTGGCTTGGCTGTCTTTGGCTAATATTAAGAAACCTCAAGCAAGAAGTCTAAATATTGATCATTAATTTACTGAAACCCTCTGTATATTGAATGTTGCTTGACTTCAGACATCTCTGAAAAGTATAGAGAAATTTGTCTTCATATTCTGCATACTTAAACTTTTTATTATGGAAAATTTCAAACATGCATGACAGTAGAGAAATTTGTGTAATGGATTCCCATGTATGTGTCACTGGCCACAACAAATACCAACATAAGGCCAACCCTGTTTCATCTGCATCTCCTTCCCCATTGAATTATGTCAAAGCAATCCCAGATATCATCCCATTTAATATGTAAAGTTTTTATAAGATACTTATTTCCAAGAGATAGGGGCATCATCTTTTCAAAATACCATTATAATACCAATTAGCACCATTGTTAGAAATGAATAGCAACTCTTCAGTATCATCTAATATCCACTGGGTATTCACCTTTCCCTGGATTGTCTCATGTATGCATTTTTCCTGTTGTTTTCTTTTAATCAGCATCTAAACGAGGTCTGTGCATTTACATGCCTTGCTAAATATGATGACTTCATCCTAGTACTAGTTAATACCTAAGGACAAAATACACACTTGTGGTAAGGCTTTTTACTTACGACAATGGATATAATTTCACATTTCAAAGTCTCCTTGGTAATTGTGAATTTGGGGCAGCTCTGATTAGATTGCTTTTGTTTTAATTTGTATTAGTCTTCAATTCAATTAGTGCAGTTTCTTTGCATTAAGCTTTTAAAGCCACCTGTTCAGCTTCTGAGAGCTAATATTTTATGTCTTAAGCCACCCATCTTTTCACATGTTAACATCTATGAAATCAGTTTGCATTTTATAATCAATGGTGATAGTTTAATAGGTAGCATTTTCCTTTACTGTTTATTAAACAGTGGTGCATCTTACAATCAAAGAGGTCTTAGATTTGATGAAATATACTAGTTTATTTAAACTAGGTAATATAAAGGGCCCTTTCTACGGAAGTTTTACTCTTCTTTCTGAACAGTGGGCCACCTTTACAAGACAGATATGCTGAAGAAGGTAGACAAGTCCAGGTCTGGTCAGAAACATATGAGCCATTCTGAATCTTCAGAATGGAAATGGTTTAATACAGAATCAGAAGCTTATATGGCTCATGGAAGGCAGGGGCTAAGGTGAGGAAGTTTCTAGAATCCAGGAGTGCAAGAGTCACAGGGAAGCTCCCCGGCCCCCAGTGGTCTCAGCTGCCTGCACGACTGAAGTGGGTGAGTCTCAAGGTGATATCCAGAGGCTGCTGGCAAACCCCACATCTGCCTCCTGTTGATGCTTGAAAGCCTGTCCTGTGCAGTCACCAGAAGGAAGTGGTTTCTCCTCACCTCCCTCCTCCCCAAATCAGGGCACAGGGTCTCTTGGGGCAGAATCTTAAGAATCCACATCTACCGGCAAAGGAGTGTGGCAAGTGTCACGTCCAGGCTTTATGCCTCTAAGGACAGGGAGGAACCAAGAAGGGCTGGGATGGTGGCAAGTACCAACAATGTTCAGCACTTTAGAACACATCAGTGAATCCGTACGTTAACTGCAGAAAAGCTTAATCTTTTTCCTCTTACGTGAATATAAAAGGAAGTTGTAAGATATGTGTCCTGCTCCCAACTGACTGATTTCTGCCCCTGTGGAATATGTGCACCCACCCCACCCCTGACGTCAGTGGACTTGAGCCTCTGAAGCCAGCCAAAGCCAGGTGGAGGAGTGAGGCTAAAGGAGGAGCAGGGCTTGGCAAGGCCAAAACCCTGCCCTGGCCGCCCCATTGTCCCTGAGGGATTATTTCCACAAATGCATATGCTTAAGTGCTTCAGTTCCATGGCAGGAGAACAGGACACAGAATTATTGATGCATGAGGACACGTCACTTATGGGCACTCGGCACTGACTCACATGCTCTGTCATAAGTGCCCTGACGTTCTCCTTTTCATGAACGTTGGTTTGTCCATTATGTTCTAGGCAGCTCAAGGGGAGGAGCTAGGTCCCTTATTTCTTAAAGATCTCCCCTCAATGCTGATAGTATCCCTAAAGCCAGAAAGGTGATCCCATAACAAGAGAGTTGCCTCTATTAGAGCAGGGGGAGTGGCCAAGCTCAATTTGAGCATGTGCTAACTACAGAGCGTCGCTCTTAAGGTTTAGTGGCATCAACCTGCTGACAAAATAGGGCAAACAGCCAGAAGAGAGGAAGAACTGTCTGCCACACATTCCAATGGTGGGCTCTCGCTTGCACATCTTCTCAAACCTAAAGCTCTCCCACATTGCCTGGATCAGCCTCAGGGGACTTTGTGTGCAAGCCCCAGCATCAAGCTATAGCCCCAGAAATTTTAACCTACTTCATGTACTCAACCAACTGCGAGGACAATCCCTTCTGCAGCTTGAAAAAGCAGTGCTTTTCCTCCCAATTACACTGTCACTACTCACAGTATTTACTTTTTACTTTTGAATGTTACAGAAGGGCATGGTGTTTCTATGCCTGCAGAGGGAGGCCTTGGTTTAAAAGTTTGGGAAATCACACTCTAGAACATGTACTGTAAGACATTTCAACGATATGAAATCAAGCAGATGAAAGACCAAAGCAGATGCTAGGTGTTCCTGGAAGGTCATAGAGCTCAAGATGCAGAATTCTGCAGGTTACAAAGCATCGAAGGATGGAATGAGAGGCAAAGCTAGAGGAAGATCATTTCAAGTCTGGAAAATTCACAGGAAGGGTAATATGGCATGATAGTCTATGGACTAAAAATTTATAAACCAGATAGGAGAAAAAAAGGAGCCATGAATTACTCAAGTCTCAGATCACTCAAATTGACACCCCCGTTCCAGTCACTGAGCATCACCCCTGGAGCCTCAGTCAGGGCCCTATTGTCTCCAGTGAATCACAGGACACGCTGCTGGGGAGCAAGAGCAGTGAGGGTTTCTGTGTTAATCAGCTGGAGCCGCAGCTCCTGGGGTCGGGGTAGGGGTTGGATAAATGAGGCTACGCAACTGTAACCCCAGTCCTCCAAGGGCATCCCACCGGGGCAGCTGGACCATCTGAAGGCAGAGGGCCAAGAGCAGGTGTATGCAGGAGGCGGCCTCTGGCCCCCAGTGGTAAAAGAGCAGCCGGAGTTGCCAGCCAGGCGTACAGGCTCAGATGGGATGAGACATCTCGGGGCACGGGCATTTTCTAGCACTCTCGCATCACTGATGATATCATAAATAACAAAGGCTCTGAGTACAGATACAGCTCATCGACTGAACTTCTTACAGCCCCCCCGGGATCTCACTGAAGACACCTATAAGAAATCGGCCCTTGGCTCTTAGACATCTGTTTAGCATTAGAATCTGGGCAGGTTTTAAAACTCAAGTATTTGGACATGGAAAGCCACAAGCTTACTAGAGTGGCTCTATTTCAGTTCACACATTACAACAAATACACACATTAATGTAATACGGTGATGATAAATGAAATCACAGCTGAGGCTTTCAATGAACTACTGTGATTTAATTTTATTAATATTTTAAAATATGAAAACTGTAAAACATAGTATTTATGTAAACACCTGAGGACTGTTCAAGTGGGTACAGCATCTTCATACAAACAATTTGAAAGAAGACCAAGTTTAAGTAAGAATCTTTTGACATATAAGGAATAACATAGATGAAGCTATTCTTTAAATAGTTGCATTCATGTCTAAAGTACATCTGGCTTTCTAAAAAGAAAAGGTACATTCTTGCACCTGGTGAACATTTTCTTGACATTTATAACGAATAGCTAATGGTGATAGCACCAATTCTCATAGCTTATAAACCTTGTATTTGTTATACAATGTAATAACAAAGTTATAAATTTGTAACAAAATAATAGTGTTGAACATGTTTCCCTTGAAAGTTCTAACTTACAAAATAAAGCCTCCAAAGATTAGTCTGAATTAATGTATCATTCAAAGTGTAGCAGGATTAATGGCTCAGAATTAAGCAAATTAATTAGAAACATTGCATAGGACAGAGAACTTCCCTGTATGGAAACCAATCTACAGATTGTTTCTTGTCCTCTAAAAAGTAAGTTGAGAGGTACTAGTGATGGCAAATAATCCATTTACATTTTACAAAATAAAACATCTCACTAATATATGGCTCATCCCACCTCTGTGGCAATACAAAATGCCATTTTAAATTTTTTTAAAAAAGATTACTTGTGTGTATACTTTAGGTGAGAATAAAATATAAAATACTATCTATATAAAGAATAAACACATAAAATAAAGTTATGTCTTTTAAAAGTTTGGACAGAGGTATCTTCATAGAGAGATGCAAACAATGTAAGTGTAGTTATATGTCCAAACTTAGCCAAAATATGAAAGTTTTAATATAATAGTTTGTTTGAAAAAAAGTAGTCAGACTTCATCCAAACCACCCTTGCGGTACAATATTTCTTGCATAAAATAACTATTCTATCTATCTTATAGTTTATCTTAAAACTGTTAGGAGCACTTAATAAAAGTTTATGAGCTTATTTTTTTCTCTAAATCTGAATAAATAAAACACATAGAGAAATAATAGCAGAAAGGAAAAGAATTTATATGGCTATTCTCTTTCTGGAAACTGGTAGAACACCGCAACATCAGACAGATAAAATACTCCAGAAAGAGATATCTATGGGTATACCTTTAAATTCTCTTCTGGGGAATAATTCCCATAGATTCAATCATAGAAGTTGTCAACCCCTGATAATACCTCTCTTAGCTGTTTTGGTTCTCTGTATCGAGATGAACCAGAATCAAAGGTTTTTTTTGCTTTTTGGTTTTGTTTTTCTGTTGCTTGCATGAAATATATTTGTAAACAATATAATAAAAGTAATGTTTAAAGACCTATGAAGAATGAATTTCCTATTGGACTATTCTAATACTATCTAGCAGTTAAATGGTTTTTAAAGAAGTAGACTGGACTATAACATAGTTCTACAATTCTAGCTATAATATATTTTGAGTGATACTTTCTACAAAACAAAAACGACTAAAGGGCAGAAAAATGATTCTACACTAAGAAGGCATTGGTACCTCTAGAAGTTGGCCCAATCTAAATTTGCACAAGGATTTTTTCAATTTTCAAAGCATTTTCCTTGTTTAAGTCGGTCAATGTAGTAGCATAGCTTCACAGCCGTTCCCAGCTTCACCCCCAAGTGCTTCAGCAACACGTCGCTCGTGAGTAGGAGCAGAGCCTTCCCATCAATTTCCTGTGGAGAGAAGAAACAATGCTAATTAATAATGATTCCATATTTTCATCAGAATGGTTAGTTCTTTATGAGAACATGTAAAGCAAACTAGAGAGCAGCTCATTGCAGATGTATATTCTTTGAATACGCATCTACTTTATGAAAACTATTAAAAATATAACTTGTACAGTGAAGCACCATTTGGTAATGTATAAACTCACTTCAAGTTCTAAGAAAAAGGAAAATTTAACATAATATCTTAAAAAATAAATTGTGTCAAACTTAATTTTAAATATATACTGTACGTTGAATAAAATACTACACATTCATGACAAAATAGTAAAGACTATGAATAGTAAAAATGAATTTCAGATGTTCATTAGCTTTCTGAGAAGGGCTGGGAAGATGAGTATGTCAACATCAGTGCAAACTGTAAATGTCTATACAATGTTGTCTTTATGATGGATGCCAATTAGTTGTCTGAAGCTAATTAGATGCTAAAATTAATCACCAATTTTCTTACTATATTAAAAATCAGATATGTGGCTACTAATTTTGTTAGGACACACTGTGAAAATATCTGAATAAATAAAACATAGTCACAAAGCATCCTCCTAAAATTCCTTATCTTAATTGATCAACTTATGCTGTTAAAGCATGTAATTTGGTTTTATATGTTCCAGTTTAAAAATAAAATTTTATTTACTCATTTAACACTATCTGAAAAGACCTGAAATCCTTTATAATACGACCTTTGTTTGGCGCCTTCTATACTTTTTCTACTAAGTAAAACTCAAAATTAAAGAAACTAGAACTTATAAAACTTCGGCCTAGGATATTACTTTGTGAATGGTCTGACAACAGCAAGAGGGTATTAGCATCACAAATCAATAATCGAGGCAAATGGAATCAGTTGTTGAATCACTGGTTATATAAAAAGAAGGCCACCCTGTTATAGCTTGTGGTTACCCCCTCCTCCTTGTGGTCCTGGTGCCCAGCTGGGAGCAGATAGGGGGAGGATCCTTATATCTGTCATTACAAAGGTGAGGTACACCTGAGTGGCCATGCTGAATCATAATGTTTTGAGAGGCTGAGGCAGTTTGTATTTTAGGCACTGAGATACCCATTTAAAGAACAGACCATTAGCCTACCATTTAAGGCTAACCTTGGGCAAAATAAGCTTTCTCATATATGGAAAAATCAGCTAATAGGGTTCTCCCACCATTCACACAGTATCCAACTGAAAGACCTGCACAGAGGTCATTCAAAGGCATTACAGCAGGAAAACAGGATCACAAGATACATTACATGGCTTCTGAAGAGGTCGACAAGAGGGCATAATGCAAGAGGATCTGTTTGTTTTAGAAATAGGACCACTGCTTCCACCGACCAGGTTGAAGGGTGCTTAGTGATGCTTCCTTCCTCTATATAACGGTCATTTTCAAATGGTGAGCTTGTAACTTCAATGTGGGGGGGGGGGAGAAAAAAAAAGACAAATCACACTCGACCTGATCATTATCCTGAAAGAAGAGATGTTAGGTAGGGAGGAATGGTCTCTTTGTTGGGATCTTCTGTGACGTTCCTAGCAAGGAGTCAAGACTCCAACTGTAAAATCTAGTGAAAGCCTATATAAAGATGATGTGGGGATGCCTACACAAGAGTGTCCCATCTGACCTCCCCCAATAGCAAAAGCATGTTCAGAAGTTACATTAAAGTTTCAAAGATCACAAAACAGACTAAGCAAACCAAGTCTTCTTTGGCCACAGGCAAATATGGCAAAAGATCTGTCACTTGGGTAAAATTAGGTTAATCTAACCTAACCTATGACCCTCTTCAAGTATTTCAAGGAATTTCTCTCTTAATCTCTCTATCTAGATTAGGTTGATTTTACTAGCAAAATATAATGGAAATTCTCCAAATTTACAGTTTTATAATTGCTTAAATTTGTTCCTTTTAATCAATGAATCTCAATAACAACCCCATTATCTTTAAGAGCCAAATTAGTACTTTTATCAAATCTTCCCCATGTATTCAATAAGGTTATTTTTAGTATCATTTTACTCTTTAGATTTCCTGTCTCTCATGGCTTAAGTGCTAATGTGCATTTTGAAGAAAACAAGATTATTTTCTGCTGAACTAGGTCAGAAGTAACTAACATTTTATTTAATTCCTCTTTCATGTTTAATTGCATAGTAATAGAGATTTTGGTCAAAAGTTTATATGTTAAAAAAATAACTGAGATAAACTAGTGCTCATACTTCAGGAAGTTTTAGCTATGCTCTACACTAAGTTGTGTTGAAATTTCTTTGTGTATTGACAAGTATCCTTTTACTCACCCAGAGTGTTAGACTCCCTAAAATTAGTGTGTGATGACTAAAGTGGGTTTTGTTATTAGTTAAGAAAATTTGTTTCTCCAACCAGGACTATCAACACAATTTGATCTTTTTGTGTGTGTGAATTAGCCAAAAACATACCCTTTCTTCCCTACCATCTGGGCTCTTGCCATATCAGGAGTGTTTTTTATTTATCTAGGGAAAGGGTAAATAAAAATAGAAGATTTTAAAAAGCACAATGGGGCAGAGTTCTAGAAGTGCTACTCACCAGCTCTGTGACCTTGGGGATGGCGTAATAAATGTGCCAACACCATGGGGTCATTATAAGTGGAGAAGAGGCATGTCAGTTGACTGATGCAGTGCCTTGCACATAATATGCACTCAATAAATGTTAGTCATCATTCTGATTATCACCTAAAACCAGCCCTCAAAATAGGAAACAAACAGCTTCCACTAGTTTGCATCAAGGATGTTGATAAATACAGGTCAAAGAGTGCTACTTGTAAATATGGCATTTCAAACTCACCAAAACCAGAAGGGAAGCAGAGAGATGATCCAGTGTACCTATTCTCCATCAAAGCTGAGTAACTCATCATCTCAGGGGCATGTACCAAACTGGGCTCTCCCTGGGCCAGCATACCTGAAGGTTGTGCTGCAGAAGCATGGTCAGTCGAGTAAGTGTTGTAGATGCTGTTAGCCCCAGGGTTGCCAAGGCAGGGCCCTGAAGAAGAACCATGCATTGCACCATCAGATGCATAATACGGCTGATAATTATGCTCGGAGAAATCTGAGGGATGCACTGGACTCGGAGTGCGGCTGAGGATCGGGTCCTCCTCCGGCTCAGCTCGCTGGTATTCTTCCATGCGAAAGGATGGCCTTGGAAGGTTGCTCGGGGAATTATTCTCACGCCTTGACACTGGCAAAGTGGGGCTATAACTTTCAGGGTAGGAGAATGACTCGTGAACCTCATTTTTCTTCATTTTCTGGCGTTTCAGCTTTTTAGCAAGCTGGTAAGAATAATTTTTGTATCCGTATCGCTTCTGAAATCACACAAATACAGCATAAACCAATAGAGAGTAAAAAAGTAAATGAGTAGTAAATACATTAATACTTATTTTCCATGAAACATTGCTTTACGTTATTAAAAATAAATGCTCCCTTTTGATTATATAATTCTTCAATCCTACATTTTAATTGTATTTTACACATTATAATTACAAACATAAAAATATGCAGTGTCATAAGTCATCAAACCTAAACTTCAGTGTTCTCCCAGCAGAGTTTAGTCTCCATCTATTGCTACAAGTATAGATATGCCTTGCTAATCTCACACAGATACTGGTACTCTCTCACTTCTAGCTTATTGGCATCTTTACAAACCAGAGGTTTATCACAGTTGTAAAAATGTTTTTTATAACACTTACACGGTTTGTCCACAGGGATCTTGCACGGAAACGTTGGATTTTTGAAACCTTTCTACGAATCACATCAATCTTCTTATCCAGGTTTTGCATAGCATCATATATAACCTATTATAATACAATGTAGTTATATAATTAGTATACAATATATAATTTCTATTTCAAAGAAAAGTAACGCAAAAATACCATTAAGCCAAATGTTAACTGCTAGACACAACAAAAGTTCTCAAGCCATCAGAAATGTCTTGCTCCTATTCAAGGCCTGGCTGTAGGTGACACAGAGCCAACAGGCTGAGCTCAGGAGCCCCAGCGTCCCCTCCCCTGCTCTATTCCATGTAGGCACTGAGGAAGCTCTAATGCTGGTGAATGAATGTTACACAATGCCTCTACGCCAGCACATTGATGATAAAGACTGCACATCAAGGAAGGTGCTATTTTAGGAAAGAAATCTGCTAAAAGAACAAAGACTCACTTTATGATATATATATATGTAACATATATGTTCATATAGGTACAAATATGAAGTCTATATTATATACAGACAGTGAGTGTTCCATTCCAGAAAGAACACCGAACCAAATATAACAGATGTGACTTTTGGCTTCAAAGTATTTTTAAATCATGCAGTCAGCAATTAACCTTATAAAACCGTTAAGTACACATCTCTTATGTGCCAATCGAGCACATAGGAGACTGATAAAAATCTGAGAATTCTTCTTGAAATACACAGAAACTTTCGGCAAAGAAAAATACACTTAACAAAGGGCCAGAAACATTTCCTCATTCATTCATTCATTCACTCATTCAACTAAACCTTTATTGATGGCCTACCACCTGGCAGAACTACTTTGCTAGGTATTGAGAACATGAACCGAAAAAAAAGCTCCTGGCCGGGTGCAGTGGCTTATGCCTGTAATCCCAGCACTTTGGGAGGCTAAGGCAGGCGAATTGCTTGAGCTCAGGAATTGGAGACAAGCCTAGGCAACATGGTGAAACCCCTGTCTCTACCAAAAATACAAAAAATTAGCCAAGCGTGGTGGTGCATGCCTGTAGTCCATGCTACTAGGAAGGCTGAGGTGGGAGAATCACCTGAGCTTGGGAAGTTGCGGCTGCAGTGAGCCATGACTGCACCACTGTACTCCAGCCTGTCCTAGAGGAACTACCATCTCAGCTGGGAGAGAGACAAGTAAAAAGAGGATTCCAGTAGACAAAGTAATAAACAGCCTGGAACAGTGGTTTGCAAAGTGTGGTCCATGGACCGGTAGCATCAACATCACCTGTAAGCTCATTAGAAATGCCAAATGCCAGGTTGTACCCCAGACCTATGGAACCTGGAACTCTGAGAGTGGGGGCAGTGGTCTATGTTTTCACAAGCCCCCCATGTGATTCTGATGTCCCTAGTGAGAACCACTGGGCTGCAGCACTGAGGTAAACAGTGCAGGCTCTCGGGGAACATGGTTGGGGTCAAATACTAGAGTCCAGCCACTTATTGGCTGTGTGACCCTGGGCAAGTTACTTAACCTCTCTGTGCTTCGATGTCCTCATGTAGGGAATCAGGATGAAAATCTCTCTCAGGGTTCTCTCAAGGATGAGAACCTTGCTATAGTATTAGGTTAATACTAACAGTAACAGCACTACACTATGCCCAGTCCAACAGTGCTTAGTGGTCTCTTAATGTTACTATTGTGATTACCAGTGGTGTGACACAGGCTGGAACAGGAAGCTAAGTGTGCACAGAAAAGCAGTCCTAACCCACGCTGCAGTCATGGAGACCTTTTCAGAGGAGGTAAGGTCTGAAGTGAGAATTAAAACATGAGAAGGCCCTCGCCAGGTGAGGATGCATGGAAGGGCTTACAGCATAGAAGGAACAGCAGCTTCATAAATACCCAGAGAGAAAAACAGGAAGCCAGGTGTGGAGACAGCGAGTATGAATGACATTCCAGGAGCGGGGCTGTCACGGGAAGGAGAGAGTGAGGATGACAGGAAAGGAGGGATGGGAAGCAAGAGAAGTGGCTTCTCCAAGATGTGGGAGAACTTGTAGAGGGGAAGGAGGGACAGGGACTGGAGCCAGAGGAGAGAGAGAGGGACGCCCGATGCGATGCGGGGCAGCTCTGAGTGTGGGGGAGGGGACTAGATGCAGAAAGCAGCAAGGGCATCAGCCCTGGTCACTAGAATGGTCAGGAAGGGGTCAGAAGAAGGGCGGGGATGAGGGCAGTTGGTTGGCTGTGGGTACAGTTATGAGGACTTGGAGGAGAGGACTGCCCCAGGTGCTCCACTATCTCCAGGAGTGAAAAGGCAGGACTAGGGAGCTGAGGTATGCAGGGGATGGCCAGGTCTTCCTCTGCTCCCAGCCTAAGCAGGATGGAGATGGACCCAAGAGGGAACTGGGATGGAAGAACAAGGCAGACTGGAGCACCACCTCTGTGATCTAGAATGGGTAGGGGAAGAAAGAGCCAGGCCCTTGGCAGCAATGGAGAGGGGCCCTTGGGGCCATTTCAGGCTGACCATGGCCCTGGGCACCTCCCCCTACAGATGCTACCTCCCACCTCAGCGTGCAGGCTTGCCAAGGGGGACCCTGACCTAGCAGTGCATGGGGAGGCAGGCTAGGGAGAACCTGCTCCCTCCCTTCCCAGCTCGCCTCTGCACCCACTTCCCCCCAAGACTGCATGTGTCCCTTGGAAGCACTCCACTTCTGTTCTCCCCCATGATCATGATAAACACCCAAACAATCTTACTTTCCAAAGTATGTTAGCTCATTCCATTCAAGAAACCTTATATATGGTAAGAAACATTATTTTTAAATATGTATAAACCTTCATTACCTCTGGGGTATGCAACTCACAAAATTCCCAGTAATCACATCTCTACCAACATGGTGATTCTTACAACAACCCCTCAAAACTAACTTAGGTATGTTTCTCTACAAAACCTTGATGGGTTGCCATTTTGTTTCCATTGAGACATCTTGATGTGCAGTTAGGCACATACTAAATTTCATCCAAATCAGTCAATTTCCTTTAAGGATTTTGTAGGGGAAACTAATTCATTACTGAGCAATGTAGATGAAAGAGACATAACTACATTTGGTTGGTAATGGGATTTTTAAAAAGCTATAAAATCTACATGTTGCTATTCAGGAGATGCAGTTCTAACTAGAAATTGTTTTAAAAAAATCATCACAATGGGGTGATAATCATAAATAATTTGATAGGCAAAATTTCAATTAATTGTACACTTTCCCTTTATGTGAGATAAAGAGAATTTTTGCTTAACATTTTAGAAAGCTACATTGAAGAGACAGAACTTCCATACCTGGCAATGGATAAGGACATCATTAACTGTCTTCTGTTGCTCTTCAGTATTACAGGATGCATCAGATACAGTATTCGGTTCCTGCTAATATTTTAAAAGTAGTTAATGATTTATTTCTGTAACAGCCAAACTGAACACCGGGGGCAGGGGGGGAACTATATTTATTTATTTAAACTGTTTTTATTTATCACCAACTTTTCAAGGGGTTTCAGAAGTCTTAAAATAATCAGAGATTTTTAAAATTCACATTAATATGACAATGAAAATAACTGACAATTGAGGAAGGGGGCAAGAAAAGAATTTATTATATCAGAAGAACCCAGGTTTAGAGTTTTATACTGAAAGTAAGTACAAAACTGCTCTTAATTTTCTACTATATAAGAAAAAGGGGAAAGTAAATTGGTTAAGTGCTCATTCTCTGATGAAAGAAAGCATACAAATTCAGGGGAGAGAGATTTTCTTGAGTGTGAGTTTATGGGAACTCCATAGTATATGAGGAATTTACATCTTTTCCTTTAAAACAGCAAATGTTAATATATTTGGCAATTAGCAATTAATATACTTACTTTATTGACAAAATCAGGTTTTGTTTCATATGCATAAAGAATAGTGTCGTCATCTTCATCATAAGTAGGTATTCTTGTTTTTACCTGAGGAAGATTTATCAACAAATTAAAAGGAAAGATGAAAGACAGAACTAAAAGAAAAGTTGAGGGTTTAAATTTCACTTTCAAGAGGTTACAAAGGCCTATTTCTGATATCAAAGGACCTTTGCTCATTGTAAATACTATGACTACGTGAAAAGATGTATTTGCAGAACTGTGTTCTCATTAACCCAACTACACTTAAGACAACAGTTTTCACTGAGCTTAACCCTTTATATGCTTCATGGTAGAAAGACTAGTCCTTTAGCACCAGAACTACTTTAAAAGCAAGTATTTCTAACCATGAACAAAGAAATAAATGTTACATGGTTTTTGATTTCTAAATAACCCAACAGTGCCCCTCTGTGGACAAGATAGAAAATATTTGAGCACCTGCTTTTCTTGATAAATTAATCTCTAAAGTACCTTAAAACTTCAAAAAATAAGGCAGGGTATAAATAAGTAAGGAGTAAATAACCATTACATTTCAGTATAATAACTCTTCATTCTAAGAATGAATTATGAACTATGGGAATAATTTTATAACAAACATACTTGGTAGTTATGTATGTTTTTGTTTCAAAATACATGATAGAAATCACAAAAACATATGGAATTGGGTTACAGTTTAGTACTTTTAAAAATATACTATCTTACCCTTGTATAGTGCCTTATGCTTTTCAAAGTGCTTTTACATAGTTATGTCAGAGAAAAATGACTCTTGGTAGGCAGTTAACATTATCTCCAAAGATTTTTGAAAAACATCAGGACTGATAGTAGTTAAGAGAATTGCCTAGACTACTTAGGTGGCATTAATATCTATGTGCTTATGTAACAAAAAAAGATGTTTTCTGTTAAGCCATATTATTTATAGTTTAATAATCTACATACTGATTCAACTTGAAGGATTAAGAAAGACAGAAGAATATAACAGAAATGTAAAAACAGCACAACCACTTTGAAAAACTGTATGGCAGATTCTCACAGAGTTAAATTTACATGAACTCCATGACCTAGTAATTCAACTTCTGTCTGTTCACCCAAAAGGAACATGAGTGTGTGTTCACAAAGAAACTTGTACACAAATTGTCACAAGAACTTTATATATTACTGTTAAAATACATAACAAAAATTTACTTACGATCTATGCATTTCACTGTATAAAATTAAATTAAATTTAGAATAGAAGTATAGCACAATAAAAAGAACAAAGACAGATTTTCAATTTGAATACAAACCACATCGATTTCACTGGAGCTGCTAGACATCATTTTTGTGCAACAGGAGAAACTCCACTTCCTCTGAGTTGGACCTAATTATTTTTAAACTTGCTGGAGGGTTTATTTGTGATACTGCTTAGTCACCTAAGAGTGGTAAACCTCTACTCCTGAAAAGCAACGCATAAAAAAGTTACTTCATACACTTACTACCTTAATAATATGGATATACTCTCAGAATGCTAACTCAAATAGAATTGGACTTTGGGTTGAATTTTAGAGAGTGACAAAACCAGAATTCTTCCATGGCCAATTTAGAATAAATCTTTTAAAACTGAAGGGCTATATTGCCCATGACTAGAAATAAGAATCAAATCAAACACAATTACAAACTGTGAAGTAACTGCTTAGTAACTTAAAGCCTACAGAGTAAATGCTGGAAACAAATGAACAAGAGAAGGGCAAACAAATGAACAAGCAAGGGCTAACTGCTTTTGTAAAGGAGCTCCAAAAGGCTCTTGACTAAGGAGAAAGCATTGCCTCCAAAATGTAAGCCAGGAGCCTATTCTGGATTGGGTCCCCACCACTATGTAGGCTGGGCAGACCAGGAGAGACACCACCTCCTCATCCACCAGGTTTCGAACACCAGTTGAGATGATCTCTAAGGTCCATTTCAACTTTCAAGTTAGGATTGCCTTATTAAATTTTATATTAAACCTAAATAAATGGATGTGAAAGGTAAGCCAAACAATCTAAAATTAGGAAGATTTGGTTATGGCTCTGAGCCACTTAACTATGGAACTAGAAAACATTGGCTGCAACAGTATCAGATTATATCTTGTACTAGAGATTTGCTTTGAATGTCTGCATCACAGTTACTGGGAAGGGTACCTTAATGAAAGAGCTACCCCACTTTATTCTTCCTGAGCCAGAGCAGTAATGAGAGGCACAATTAAGGGATTCAGGTTTCATCTCTTTCCTGTTTCCCTTTCATTCTGTAGTGGAGACCATGAACCCAAAAGAGAGAAATAAAAAGGGGATAAAGAAGATGGGAGAGCTAACTCGAGTTAGATAAATGCAGACTAATGTTGCATAGAAGTATCAAGTTATAAAATACCTCTAATTGGAGCTGTAACTTCAATCAAATTTCACTTTTTAAACTATCTGAGTTTTCTGACCATAAAACTTATACAAGCTATCAGTAATTAAATTGTGGTATATTCATACAAAGGAACTTCACAGCAATGAGAATAAACCAACTACTGCTGTACACAGCAAGGCCGAATCTCACAACCATAACCTTGAGTTTAAAAACAGCCAGACACAAAAGAGTATAGTATATGACTCAATTGATATTAAACTCAAAAACAGGCAAAACTAACCTGTGGTGGAAAGAGTCTTTCCAAACCAATACTTTTAGGTCTACTGTAGTTACTGTAATGACTTCTTCGTATTCTATCTTGTAAATATGCCATGATTTATTAAACACAGCCCCCAATTCATAGATATTCAAGTTACTTCTAAAGTTTTGCTCTTATAAAGAACACTGCAGAACAGTCTTGCACCTGTGCAAGTAGTTCTATGGGATAAATTCCTAGAGGTAGAAACAATGAGTAGGTCTCCATGTTTGAAAATCCTCCTCTACTTCTTCCCACTAAGGAGGGCTGTTGGGGTCAACCAGATGTTCCAAAATAAACTAAGGTAGTATCCTGCTGGTCCTGCATGTAGTTTTAAAACCAGGACAGATAATAAATAGTACCAAATAGCTTCTTGGCATCAGATGACTAAGTGACTTTTCTCCTTAGATCTACTGATGCAACATATTAATACATTTCTTAATGTTCTTGGGGTGAGGGGTCCAGCTGACTATAAAGAACAACATTCAATTTGTTGGTATTTTATTTAGAAATTGTTTGCATCTCTATTTCTAAGCTCTTACATTAGTGAGATGGTATATTTCTCACAATTAATGAATCAGTATTGTATTGATACATTATTAACACTTGGTATCAAAATTTCTCTGCAAAATTAGCTGGGAAGGCTTTCACCTCTTTCTATACTCTAAAAAAGTTTACATCACACCAGAATTTTTGTGCTCTAAAGGGTTGAATTTATTAAAAAAAACTCTCTGGGTCCAGTTTTTATAACATTTTCTTTTTTTTTTTTTTTTTTTTTTTTTTTTTTTTTTTGAGACGGAGTCTCACGCTGTTGCCCAGGCTGGAGTGCAGTGGCGCGATCTCGGCTCACTGCAAGCTCCGCCTCCCGGGTTCCCGCCATTCTCCTGCCTCAGCCTCCTGAGTAGCTGGGACTACAGGCGCCCGCCACCGCGCCCGGCTAATTTTTTGTATTTTTTTTTTTTGTAGAGACGGGGTTTCACTGTGGTCTCGATCTCCTGACCTTGTGATCCGCCCGCCTCGGCCTCCCAAAGTGCTGGGATTACAGGCTTGAGCCACCGCGCCCGGCCTATAACATTTTCTAAGTTCCTCCATGGTTGATGATCTAGTCAAATTATCCTATTTTTTCATGAGTTGTTTTGACAAATTATTTTTATCCAGAAGGATAATCATTTCATCATAATTACAGAATTTTTAGCAAAGCCACAGTTTTAAATTTTTATTTCTAATTTAATTTGTACTTTCTTTTGATTCTTTCATTAGGTATTCTATCTTGCTAAATTACTGACAACCCTGTGGGATAGGTTCTATTACTGTCCCCATTTTCCTTATGAGGAAACTGAAGCAAAGAACGTTTATTAGAGGTGTCCAAGGGAGAGAATACAGTCATGGGTTCTTAGTTTGTTTCTGGTTGGGCCAGTAAAGCCCCTTCCTCATCCCTCTTTTCCACTTATCCCTAGAGACAGAAACTAAAAAGCATAGCTTCAGGCTGCCAAAAGCCTAAAACAAAACAGAACAACAACAATGACAACAACAATAAAATAAGGCGGGTTGGACAAGCTTGATTTAAGTAATTTACCCAGGTCCCATAGCTAGTAAATGGTGCAGTCTACCACCACACTCTATGCACTTTACTTCATTATTAAAATCACCTGGAATACCTTTGCTATCAATACCACAGTAAAATTCATACTCTCACCATGGCCTGCAAGGTCCTTCCATAATCAGGACCCCGCCCACTGCACAGAGGTCACTTCTTACCACTTGCCCCTTTACTCTAAGCCAGGGGTCCCCAACCCCCGGGCAACCACCTGGTACTGGTCCTTGGCCTGTTAGGAGCACAGCAGGAGCTAGGAAGGATTATCGCCTGAGCTCCGCCTCCTATCAGATGAGCTGCAGTATTAGATTCTCACAGGAGCATGAACCCTATTGCGAACAGCACATGGGAGGGATCTAGGTTGCACTCTCCTTAAGAAACAGTTTCATTAGGAAACCATACCCTGCTAGCACTCCCCCGTCCCTGCATCTGTGGAAAAATTGTCTTCTACAAAACCAAAACCGGTTCCTGGTGCCAAAAAGGTTAGGGAGGGCAGCTCTAAGCCTAAAATATTTACTATGTAGCCTGTTTCAGGCAAGTTTGCAGACAATGGTTACAAGCTCTTACATCCAGAGAACAGAGAACTCCCTAGACACAGGAGCACTGTGCAGTGAGTCCACCACTGGACTCCCAACATGTTTACATCTCTGGTACATATACAAATCAACACCAATCTTGCACTCTTTGAGCTTCTCGCTCCTATTATGCCCTCCGTCCATAATACCCTGTTGTATCTCCGCCTAGGAGAACTTATTCAACTTCAAGGCTTAACTCAAGTTTCACCTCCAAAAAGCAAGGGCACCATGCCAATGATCATCCCATGTGGATGTGACATGACTTTCCCTGAACTACAAGAACACTCACACTTTAATACTTCTACGGCAACTGTCACACATATCTGGTTACGTGAGAGGCAGCATCAAGCAGCATTAAGACCTTAGGCTTGTGGTCAGAATACCTGGGTTTGGGTCCCACCTCCTCCACATACTAGCTGTGTAAATAAGTTGAACAACTTACTTAAATCCTCTGTGCTTTTTTTTTTGTCTGTAAAATGGGAATGATAATAGCACATACCTCATGGAATTGTGAGGATTAAATGAATTAATACATGTCAAGTGCTTAGACTAATGCATGGCAAAGACACCAAAGGCTTTTGAGTATTGACCACATCTATCCAACAGAACTATGTCTCAAGGAGCACATAGACAACAAGCCTGGGTCATAACATGTAATTTTTATTCACATTGCACCTGAAATGAATTGTTGTCTTTTAGGTACCAGGGCATGATGCAAGGAGCTGGGCTATAGTTATAAACACTTGAATCCAAGTCCAAATTGCCAAATTTGCCACTTCACTTTAGGTAAATATTTCACCTCTCTGTGCCTCAAATTTTCTAACCGGTAAAGTTGTAATAATATCTACTTCATGGGGCTATTTAGGCCAAAAATACAGTTAAACTCTCAGCATCATGCCTGGTTCACAGTAGACACACCACAAATTTTAATTCCTTTTCACTTCCTCCCTTAAGGTAAACAATTACACTTTACGACATTTTCTTAGAGTCTAACCATGACTAGAATGTGCAAAATTAATTTCATTTTTAAATCTCAAATCCCACAAAATGAGTTTACTTAAAATGAAACTCACTTATATTTACCACAGAAGTCTAAACTCTTTGTTTTCTTTTCTTTTTTTTCTTTTTTTGAGACAGAGTCTTACTCTGTCACCCAGGCTGGAGTGCAGGGGCATGATCTCGGCTTACTGCAACCTCTGCCTCCTGGGTTAAAGCAATTCTCCTCCCTCAGCCTCCTGAGTAGCTAGCGTAACAGGCGTGCGCCACCATGCCCAGTTAATTTTTGTACTTTTAGTAGAGACTGGGTTTCACCATGTTGGCCAGACTGGTCCTGAACTTCTGACCTCAAGTGATCTGCCCGCCTTGGCCTCCCAAAGTGCTGGGATTATAGGCGTGAGCCACCGTGCCTGGCCAACTCTTGATAACACCATAAATTTAAGTTCTTTTTCACTTTTTCCCACAAGATAAATTACAGCTTTACAACATTTTCTCAGAGCCCAACCATGACTAGATTGTGCAAAATTAATTTCACTTTTAAATCTCAAATTCCACAAAAATGAGCGTACCTAAAAGGAAACTCATTTATATTTACCCCGGAAATCTAAACTCTTGGTAATACCACACATTTTAGTTCCTTCTCACTTCTTCCCACAAGATAATTTCAGCTTTACAACATTTTCTCAGAGCCCAACCATGACTACTACATTGTGCAAAATGAATTAATTTCACGTTTAAATCTCAAATCCTGTAAAAATGAGTTTACTTAAAATGAGACTCACTTGCATTTACCACAGAAATTTAAACTCTTGATTACACCATATACTTTAATTCCTTTTCACTTCTTTCCATAAGATAAATCACAGCTTTACAACATTTTCTCAGAGCCCAACCATGACTAGATTGTGCAAAATTAATTTCACTTTTAAATCTCAAATCCTGTAAAAATGAGATTACTTAAAATGAAACTCACTTGTATTTACCACAGAAATTTAAACTATTCATTACACCATACACTTTAGTTCCTTTTCACTTCGTCCCACAAGATTAATTACAGCTTGACAACATTTTCTCAGAGCCCAAGGCTAGATTGTGCAAAATTAATTAATTTCACTTTCAAACCTCAAATCTCGCAAAATGAGCTTACTTAAAATGAAACTCACTTATGTTTACCACAGAAATCTAAACTCTTGATAACATAAGAACAAGAGGCCGTCTGCTTTTCTAAGAGACTTTTTTAGACATTAAAGACATTTTCAAAAGTCGTAAATATTCGCTCCGGAGGCTCAAGGCTTTCACCTGCCATTAATTCATCAGATAAGGCACAGCTCACAATGAAGCACCACTCACGCCGGGACCACTTTGAGAAACACAAGCAAAACGGGGCCAATTACAACAGCCAGACCGCTCCGTTTGTTTTAAGAACAATCACTTTCTAAATCCTCCTTCGAGACTCTCAAAGGCAGCCCTTCCATTGCCGCCAGAACCGTATCCCATCGCCCAGCACTTGCCGCAGGCCGGACAAGTGAGGCCCAAAAGGGCACCCAGCCCACGGCCCGCTTTAGAAAACACCGCACTGCAAAGCTGCTGGGAAAATCGCTCTCTTTTAGTCAACCTGAAGCCACTTTGCCGCACTTGGGGAAAGTCGGGGAGAGGAGGGAGGGACGCGATCCGCCACCAACCAAATCAGAGCCTTTCCTGTTAACGACCGTGCGGCAAGGGGGCCGGGGCCGGGCCCTCGCACACCTCGACGGCCTCCCCCGCTCCACAGGGACCCCGATATCGCAGGATCTCCCGACTCCCGCCTCTGCTCCCGACACCCTACGTTTTTCTCTTCTTTCTCATTTACGTATTTACAATAAAACAGCGAAGCTGCACGGTCTCTAATCAAACGCGGTTACCATCAAAGCCTCAGACTCCGTCTCAACCGCAAAAGGTCTGACAGGAAATCAACTCCGGAGTTTGTCAATTCTTTAAACTCAAAGCTCTGTTAACAAAGTCTGGATCCTTCCTCGCTCCCCACCTGCCTCCCCTGACAGGAGAACGACTGTAAAAGGATCCTGTCATCCCCGAAAGTCAGCACCAAGCACTTCACAAATTGTCAAATCTCAAAAGCTCACACGCGCGGGCACTCCAGAAAGGCTGTGGGGACCACCCAAAGCAGCCCCCTCCACACCGCGGCTGAAATTTGAGGCTGCGAAGTGCAAAACTCGCTCTTCCCCGCAAAGCAAACCCTCTCTCCTCAGGAGAGCCCCAGCCCCTAAGCCAAATCGTGTATTCCCGTGACAGGAAAGCTCAAGGTGAGGAAAAAGTACGACTGGACAGACCTATTTTAGCGACAGAGCCTGTCACGCCGGCCTCCGGAGGTCGCGGTAAAACTGCTCGCAGTAGTCCTGCCTCCCCGATGGGCGACAGCTGTGACCGTTAGGCCGCTCGACGCTTCGGAAAGGCCCTGGCGCCGGAAACCTGGTCACACGCACGAGAGACCAGTGATGCCTTGACCCCTGAGTGGATCAGAGAGCTCCCGCGACGCCGAGTTCCCACACTAGCGGTGAAGGGGGGGCGGGACTACCCGCTGACCAATCGGCGTCTGGCCACTGACAGGCGTCGCCTTT